ACTTTTTTATCTTTTAACTTCGATACGGGTTTTTAACCATACAATGATTGATGAATATGTACCAGTTTCTGGATCAATAAAACACAATTCACTAATTTATAAAATTGAAACAATTGCATACTGACAAAAATTAATATTATTAGTATAATATTAATTTTTATTTCATCTGATATGTTTCAGAGTTTCGTATAAGTAAGGCATTAAACAATTTTTTTTTCAGTAATAGGAAAATCACAGGGCTAAATCGTACGATACTTGAGACCTAATAACATTTTGACCTTTGCTACGATACTTTTGTCCGCGGGTATAAAATACGATTTCTCGTCATTCGTGTTAGCTCAATGTGCGAAGGTTTGTTGTTGAAAACGAACCTGAACTCACTTTATATAAATAAATATTTATTGACGTAACTCAAATTGTTAACGTTTATTTTCGATTTACTTTAAGGTGTGACTTCGGTAGGCCTAGATAATGTTTACGGCATGTTTACGCCTTTGTATCGTCATCATAAAATTTATTACGAGATTTGGTGTATTTAACTTAAGCGGGACGTTGCACAAATTTTGTTCGATCACTATACGATAACGCTTGTCACAATTATTTGTGCTAGGCCTACAGTTAAGAATACAGGCAATTGTGTTGTCAAAAGCATGTTTTCCTTATGACGTACATCAGTTTTTCGTATGCTTTTAATACCATTCTTGTTGTATATTTCATCAATCTAGACGGTATATTACCATTTAAGACTTTGATCAACGTTGAACAACAACACAAATTAAATCTACTTGAACATATCGATCGATTCGAACAATGTTAACTTATTAAGTTAAACTACTTATTCCTCGAAGTAGTGTTATCAAAACCGCAACCTCATCTACACAAACATATCCTAAATACATATAAATTTGTTCATCGTACACAACATCTATCAAGCTATCCCGTTGCGTAACCGCACTCTAACAGTATCCATCATATTCGAATAGTATTTGAATTACGTAATCGTGAACTAGAATCCTTTGCGTGTATGGCCGATGTATTATTTCGGTATTATGTTACGTAAACGCTTCACCTGTCATAATGACAGCCTGTTTGAGACATTAAGCCTGACATACGGTTAAATTGAAATACATTCAATATATGACCCTAAAGTACAAACCGCATGTGTACAAAATTTGTCAGGATTGCTGTGTTATGGACTGAGGTTCTATTCCCATCCAAATACGATTTTATAAAGTAAATTATTTTTTTCCTGGGTGTAATAAAAGCAACGTCAAGTGACAAAAACTTCAGAATCGTAATATTTTTTGTAGATTTCATAGAAAAATAAATTTGAAATATTTGAGTTTTATCTTCTTTTTTTTCGGATTTTGCAAAGTTGTAAAACTTCTAAAATCGTAATCTGGAATAATGTTGCTATTAGATTTTTTAAAAAGGAAAAAAACTATATCTTATTATTTTATCATAAACCAAACAAGTTGTACTAATTAAAAAAAAACTAATGAACTTCCTTTAAGATATAAAACACATCACAAAGGTTACAACAAAAATACAATAATGTAATAACGATTGATATACAATAAACAATTTGAAGGTAAAGTTAGAAGCAATTAAACCATTATAATGTTAAATTAACATAAAATTAAATAAATTTACCATGTCTTTATTAATTAAAATATTGTAACTAAAAAACAGAAACTCGCCTATTAACAGGTCTTTAATTTTACTTGTAAAAAATTATCAATACAATGTCCTCATTTTAACAAGAGTTAATACCAAAATAGGGTATGTATCAGGATGGCGTAGGCATGTACAACATCCGGGAAAGAGACCTTGGTTGTGAAGGCCGTGTACCCTCCTTGTAGCGTCTATGACACTGGCCACTGAATTGTAAGAACAATTGATAGGACGACTTGATTAAAAAAAACATTCTTTCGTCGTTATTAATTAGGTCGCAATTGTATTGTTTGCAATATTTGGTGTAGGAAATGTCTTAAAAGATTCAGCTTATATGAATTTCATATAGTAATTATGACTAATCTCACTTTTACTAACAATTTTGTTGTGTGTTTGATTTTTTTTTGATTAACCGAGTTGTACATAAACCCTGTTTGCTCAATGCGGATTTGTTCACACTTATATCCGAATTTCTTAGCAGATATGCAATTTCGAAAATCGAATAAGAAATGTTGGGACATGGTGGAATCTGGACCCGTATATAAGTCCATTGCTTAACAACAGAGCCTTAATATCGATGTTTTACAAGTACGAGACAGTAAGTTTTCTATATTAAGCGATGTCTTCTATTTGGAATAACTTAATCTTGTGAGGTCCGATTTTGTACTCAAGTTACAGACGACATGCAGTGGGAATGTTAAGTAAGGATGCTTTTATAAGTATGTTCCATGGAAAAACGCTAAAATGTATAGAATCTTTGATTTCTTTGAGATCGACTCTAAAGCGGAGCGTTAAGAGTACGGGGACATTTTTTTTGTTTCATTCTCAAAGGCGAAATTACTTGGCTTCCATGTGTTTTCTAGTTTAAAAATAGCTTTTATATCGTTCAAAGTGTTTTTCAGTATTTATCGAAGCAACAAAAGAAAGATTTGATGTTGGAGTTTCTAACAGGTTACGCAATGTTTAATTCCCTACGTTTTGAATATAGAAGATTTTATAGAGCGATTTTATGATTTCTAAAAAAAATTCCATAAATGTAAGAATCATTACCTACTTTGTATTTGATTCATTTTAAGGTCTTAGAAGAAATAGGAAAATCTTTACGACTTTCTCATTGGATTTAAAATTTCTTAATATATCTACTGTATTTTAGTATTTTAATATTAAAATTAAAGATAAATGAAAGAAGTTGATTACAATAAACATAATATAATATAAAAAATATATAAACTGATGTCAAACGTTCTACAGCATATTTAGAAAAGATAGTATGGTTTGTTTTGTTATATTTAAGTTTAAATCCAAAATAATAGGATGCCATCAGTCCTAGTTCTTTCGCCACAACCAAAAGAAATAAAACAGTAAACTCTATGGCATCGTAAAGATTGTAAAGGACGTTTGCGAACCTGGCAACAGCTTATTACAATTTACGTTTTGAAATAAATGAAAAAATGAAATAAAAAAATCTAACAATATTACGTTATCCGTAAGATATTACTTATGAATTCTAATGACTACTTATATTTTTTTAAGTTTTATTAACGTAACAAATTATGTGCGTTTTATTAGCGTAAATTTTATTATTACAGATATAATTGACATTTTAATTTTTTAGTTAAGACTATTTTAAAAACGTCCAAATCAAAGATATAACGTATTGTAATAAGATGTTAAGAAATATGCTTAGTAAATTCGCTTAGTGAACATGACACGTAACAGATTTCTTGCTATACTTGCATAGTATAGCTTTAATATTAAGCTCATACGACATTATTAGCCTTGATCTTTGATGTGCGTTGTCACACGCTATTCATCTACAAGACAATAACAGGGAACAATAACACGGTTCAATGAACCCTAAAGATTAGATAAAAGGCTTGTTAATGTTATGACGCATGTAACACGGATACATGTAACAATGTAGTCATAAAGTGATATAGAAAACTGTCGCCACCTTCGATGGAAGAGCTTTTTTGACTTCTGGCTTTGAGTTTAAAACTGAACAGTTCCAAGTCTATTGGACGATCTTTTTGTATTACGAATCGAAATCGTTTGTTCTTTGGTTTGAATATAAATAAACTAACATTTGTCCACGATTGCTCCTGATAGGTTAAGTGGTCTAAATACAAAACACACCAGTCCATTCAATCTACATTTTAGATATAAAGTTCTAAGAATACTAATATTACGTAATATAATAAGTAAATAAGTATGTAAGTGTAAGTATATAGTATAGTGTACAAATTAAGCTAGTAGCAGACTTGTAGTAGTTAGAATCGATTTGTAAATAGAATACTACAATCGAAATAAAATAAACTTTAATACGATAAAAAGTAATTTATGTTTTTAATCCTAAATTTTATGGATGAAGAGTTTTTAAATCCATAACCCAAATATATAATTATATATTTTTTGCATCCAAGGTAAAGATGTTTATATTCAAATTCGCAGACATAACACATTTCGTAAAAAATATAATAATATTAAAAATATGAAGGGATAAAAAGTTGTTCGTCGATGTCCTTGATATGGCGAAATTAATGTCAAAGAAATTGTAATAAATATCGCAAGAATTTCACACCCACTAAATTCGTGTTAGCAATAACGATTTATTATGGCTTACATATTGTAGAATTGTAGAAAAAGCTCTCGATGGGAATAATTTAAATTAGATTACGTATTTACAGTTGCGTTATATTCGAATTAAATATATGTTCAAAAATATTATTTGATGCGGTTCTTTACTAATGAAATCACATTTAACGACGATTATGGTTTTTTGGAATGATGTGGTTGGTTAAAGTCTATCTTTGTTCACTTATAATAAGACGATATGTTACTTCAAAAATCCAACGGACGAAAATAGACGAATCGAATGACACCTCATTCGTTATAATCGGTTAATGGTTGGTTTCTGAAACCAAAATTCCTATATAAAACATATCATCATCTCTAATTATCTTTGACAAAACATAGATATCAATATGTTTTACATACATGACAAACCATTATTCTTTTGTTAGTCGGCTTAACTTGTGCGTAATTTTAATAATGTGATATTTTTGCAAAGTCTCTTAAGGTATTGTCGATTAGACATATTTAGGCATAGTCAATGCAGATGCAATAAAGTTTTATGTTGTTACTATATTCGTATCAGGTATTGTATTTATAATGTCGAATAGTTTGAGTCGAGACAAAGGCGACCTAATTGTCGATGTGGACCTCGTATATCTCTCGTAGTGTGCACCCGATTTACATACGTTCCCAATCATTGTGTTCGTGTTGTTTTTGTCCGTTATGGACGAAGACGCTCCAAGGACACGAAGGCAGTATAAATATTGAAGTAAATTATAATTTTTCGTAGTACAATTCTTTGCAAGCTAAGGTTCAACAAGCTTACAGATACACAATATCAAAATGTTCGGCAAACTGGTAAGTAGTGAACTAGTTTATATATTACTTTAAACTTTTTAAAAACCCTCTTTGAGTGTTTAATTATTTAATATTTAGCTTAGAGTTGAGTTTTTTAAGTTTTATCGTAGTAACTGTGTTGGTAATATATTAAACAGACATTAAGAGTATAAGTGTTAGTAATTTATTAAACGAATATTCCAGTCTTTATCGAACTCTTAACTAGAACACTTTTAACAAGGGATTTACACGAGTGGAATTCTATTTATGGTTTTAAAAACTAATCCTTATTTGTTATTATAGACATTTGGAATACGAACTCAGTATTATCAACAAGATTTTAAGTAAAACTTTTCTTATTTCAGGTTATTTTGTTCGCCATTCTGGCATTCGCCTTCGCGAGACCTCAAGTATACCCTGGCTATAGCTACGGTACCTACTCCGGAGCCAGCTACCCCGGCTATTATGGATATTCCGGATACTCCAACCCCTACTCGTACGGCAGTTACGGATCGTACGCTGCTTCACCTTACAGCAGTCTCGGTTATGGATACTATTAAAGTGGATACACCAGTGGATACAAACATATATACTATTGTCAATTGGCCTGATTTTGTTTTGACTTGTTTATTTGTATATTGGATTAAATTTTAAATCAAATTATTTTTTACTATTAATCTCCCAGATATGATTGCTGATAGAGCTTAAAGAGAACAAGAAGTACAAACTGTGTTGACCTCCCATTCCCAAGTGCAGGAAGATGATGGCTATTATTCTGCTAGTAGGCGATTTTTTTTTAATATTATACGGTGACAAACGAGCAAACAGCCACATGAATTCGCCAAAATGATGATGCAACCGTTACGTATAGACAGCACTTGCAGATGTGATGCCTACCTTTATTTTACATTTAATTACATTAATGAACTTAATGTTGCTCTATACCACAATAAGATATTTAATGTACAATAATCGACCTTCACAAATCCCAGATACTACGTAAAAGGTAATACGTTTATGTTAAAAATATCTCTCAAGGCTCAGATGTTATAAATATTACTAAGTATATATCAAAAGATCTTGTATAGAATGCTAAGAATGGGACGTCCTTGGGACATAAATACGCTGATATCAGATTATGTAATGGACTTGATAAATATAAATGGACAAATAAAGTGATAAATTTGGTACGAACATGATGAGAAAGGGTGGGTGCGAAATTAAATAATTATTATTGGGCACATTAAGCATCAGAATTATAAAGTACAGTAGGACAGTACTTTGTAAGATAACCTTTAAGTCTAGCTAAGCTATATTTTGTGTATATTAAAAAACACCTTAGAATAATATTTTAATCTACAAAAAGCAAATACCAGTTTACTACTTTATTTGAACGATGCGTAAGATTAATTTACCGTACATAAAACAACGTCTGGCTGTAAATTAATAATTAAGGGTGGAGAAGGTAACATTTGGCCGAACCATTGTTTTTTGTCAAAAGTTGACGCTGTATAGCATAGATGCTCTACGCAGTTGATTAATTGCGAACCTACTAGAAAGGTGTCGATGACCACTTGATTGATATTATTACAGGCTCATGATTACAATGACTTAGGTCCAATAAGTAATTAATCTTTGATCTTATCTTATACAAACTGTTAATTGTTTTACACATTTATACGCTATCCTATACTTGGTATTAATATTCATCATCATCATCACATTTCTTCATCATTCTAAAGGGTTGACGCACCAGATTTTCGTGTTCCAAATCGTTACATCTTTTATCTACTAAATAAATTACTAAACCGCAGCTTGATACCTACAAATTCCTTTTTTATTTATCTATCTGTTTAACCGAGGCGATGTGCTAGTCAAGAAGACTAGATGTAGTAGACTAGAAGGTCAAATATACAAGTTTATTTACTATCCTTGCCTCCCAAAATCCATTGTTATTTTTGGTTTGTTCTTTTAGCTTTAAGTGGTGAAATAAAAATTTAAAGTATAATTTGTGCCGTTGACCGTGAGTTTTAGAAAACTGAAATCCCAATTTTGTGAGATTTAATGACAGGGATGACGACATGTTTTATACGGATATTGGTTTCAAAAACCAACGGTTAATCGTTGCAAATAATACTGGATTTCAAATTGATCTAAATATTCAATATTTAATTTGAATATTTAAGTATCAAGACGTATTAAAATAACATCAATTCGTTAACATACGCGTTTCTAAGCGTGGGCCGAATTTAAACGACACGATCCAAATGTTTAAAGAATATTAAAAAGGAACAGTGCTGTAAGCTTTTGTCTCTGTTGCGTACATGTAAAAATATATAAACATATTGCATATATACACATATACAATAGTCGACTGACCGAATGACACTTCTAACTAAAAATATAAATGGAAATGCCTGCAGCCCATGACTTGTGTCCCCGCAATATACTTGTTTTCATGTCAATATATGTTTTGTATGATTGAAGATGACTTACCACTTAGATGTCATATTCACCGCTTGTCGTCCACTAATCACTCTATTAAATCTCAGTTGACTCATTAAGTTTATTCTGCTGCGTTCGAGAGATGCTATCATGACGCAATCCGTATTGCACTTCTTTCCGCTATCGCGTTAATTAAGCAAATATTACATCCGCAAACCGCCAATTTTAAGCGATCCTGTAAGCTAATCTAAAACCATTCGAATAGTTTCGGTAGGTTACTGGGTCCGACTCCCTTACTGCACAATCCCCGCCGCGCTCTTCAGAATCATAAGGGTTTTTAAAGTACCCACTTGTTCGAGAAGAAATCGGCGTATCTAATTTTGGATAGAAAAAAATCTGACCACGAAATACGAAAACAAAAGAATACTAAACAAACATACATCATAAATTTTAATCATTCGCAAAAATATTGTCTATCTGCGTTAAGCCAGATTGACAGCCCGTGTAGTAAAACAGCACATGTATGATACAAAATAATTTAATTATTTTAATGCGCTTGCCAGTACTTACACACGCATCGAAGGAAAATTATTTATTAAATATCGTCATTTTAATTGTAAAATGTGTTTTCGAGCCTGTTGCTAAAGACAGTAGGCCTCATTACCTATTACCGATCTACAAAAAAAGGGTCTTGATCATATAAGGGTTCCGTTTTTTTCCTATGAGGTACGAAATCCTAAAAATACCGTTTTTTGACACCCTTAAATTAAAATGTATAATAACAGTTTTTAATAAAGTAATTATTGTTATTATATAAATTATACTAATTGAAGACAATTAATTTGTTATCAAAAGTTAGGAAACGATAAATATTTAAAATTAAAGTTAATCACATTACGACCTCACAAAAATTTCCGCCATTTCAATACTTTATGAAAAACTATTCTAAGGTGTGAAGAAAAAACATTTAACGCGGATTATGATAATAAAAGCTAATTTTAATAAAAAAGTTAATATATAATTCTATAGATAAAATGGATATTTATTAAAATATGTAAATAAAATAATACTTGTAATTTATTTACATTAATACATATTTATATAATACAACTATGTATTATTTTAACAAAGTAGATGTACTTGACAATGTAATGAAGTTGCATAAAGTAAATACAAATTTTTCGTTTCAAATGTTTTTAAAAACATAAATTTTATACTACGTTTGAATATTATTTCAAAAAGACCATAATATAGCTATTGCTTGCGGGTGCCGCCCATGTGTTCCGCCTCCCCAAAGATAGAGATCATGACAACCTACGATAATTGGACAGGCTTTAAACCTAGGTTTTGAGATAAACATATTGTTATTTCTGTTTTGTCTAAAATAATGACAGGGATAGCAATATGTTTTATGCAGAGATTTCGGTTTCAGAAACCAACAGACATAACGACCAAAATATCCGAACCGGTGGGCAAATGTCAAACTAAATTATGACAGCATACTAGCGCCCACTAACAACGCCAAAAATATCTATAAGATCCTATTTGTTCTATAGTTGTAATGGAAAAAAAAATTCTTATATGTCATTTTCTATGTTTAAGTAGATTTTATATATATTGTGACGGAACCAATCACGAAAGCAGCGCCTCTCTCACTGGTTTAGATATCTTTGTATAACTATAATTTTATAAATAATCTGTCGTAAGATTGTCAAAGCTTGTGATACAGGTTGTCGGGACCCTGCCGCCCTACCCGGATGTTTGTTATACTTCTAATTATTATGTTAGTACGCGATACATTGTTGCTTTGAAGATCAAGGACGCTTTTTACATTACGTTTATCTCGAGGCGTGGTCGTTACATATCCCTATATAAACGCTGCCTGCTGATCCATCAGTATCACTTGACAAGTACGCAAGTAAACCTTTAACAATGTTCTACAAACTGGTAAGTTATAGATATTATTAAAAACATCATATTTATAACTGCTCGACTAACCGTTCAAGAAATAAGATTCAGCTGTTTTTTTTTTAATTTTTGAATAAATTGATAAATATCAATTGTCTTTTATAGTAATCGGTATGTTAGTAAATATTACATTTCTTTAAAATACTTAATAGCGTTCTTTATTTAAAAAAATACTTTATTATTAGAGTCCATATTGCACATTTATAGCATCATTACAAACAAAAAATCTTTTTTATTAATAATACTATAGAATAGAATATAGAAGAATTGACTGATTTTAAACAGACTTAAGAAAGATAATAAGTTAATTGTTTGGGATAGATTAAGCTTACTATAAAGTTACTACGACAGCAAACATGATATGTTCTAAAACGTATTTGCATTGGACTTCTATGAACACACACTACACTGCTGCGTACACTGCTTTAAATGCGAAATTGTTTGAACGTTTTTCAATTAACGCATTTTGAAGTTTATAAACAGAAAATCCTAAAAGATCTAATCAAAGCGTGTCCTTAAAGTTTATACCAATGACACTAGTTTCACCTTCAATAAATATAAACTGCGCACTTGATATAATTCTGTGAATGACATTTAGTTATGCAATATTTATTTAATAAAAGCCGTCCCGATGGGATGACTTACTATCCCAGACGTACTTCAATTGATTTATTCAATTATTTTTTAATATTTATTCGAAATACTTTTGCGTTCGAGTCTACATCTCTACAGTTATCTGTGTCTAGTTGTGTGAGTGTGACCTGTCTTTGTTGGCTTCAAGGAGGTAATAACCCTTAGTAAAGATGTCGTGGAGAAACCTCTGATTTAACATTTGATGAAAGCGTGTGACATCAATTCACGGTCTGTTATTTAGAGTCTCGAGGACGCATAACGTGAAACGTCACGTGCCCCTAAATTAATTGAAATATATCTTTGATTTATTTAAACATACTTAATTTATGTAGTTCTTAGTATTATTTTGAAGGAGGCGAACAAACTTAACTGTATATAAGGTGTCAGGACAATTATACAGAAAATATTTTGATTACCACAATATAATAATGTTTATAAGCAATGGTTGCTTCGCTATTTCGGCGAATTAAGGTCAACACTTTTGACACCTATAATATAAAAATATATATACATGTTATGTTATTTTAAAAAACAAAAAGTCAACAATAAGAGAATATATATTCATAGCTTAGTTGCATTTCATAATCCCCATTATATTCTCTCCTTCTTTCTTCATCACCATAGAGGATCTGCAATATCTAAAACACTTGTTCGTTTGTATTTTTTAATAACTATTTACATTATTTCGCAGTTCGCCCTCTTCGCTATGCTGGCGGTGGCCTTCGCCAACCCCAACCCCAAACCCGACCCCGCACTGGCATACGCGGCTCCAGCGGTGCTGCCTGTTGGCTACTCGCCCTACTCTCCCCTGGCTTACAGCGCGCCTTACGCCGCCGCCCTACCTTACGCCTACAACTACTACGTCCGTTAACTCAACTAAAGACCCAAGCTTACTATGAACCGATTTGCCTAACGTTTTAAATAAATTTGTACAGCATCTATATTTGATTTTTATTATTCCCTAGTCTAATTTAAGTGTATCTCTTTGTAAGGGCGCGGCGGTGCCCTCTCCGTACTCCTCATAGAGTGTGTTGTTAACGTTGTATTTCTTTTATTTTTGTTCTTTTTTCAAACATAGTACGTCTATCTATTTGTTAGTCAAGTAGAATCAAACTCCAGTTGTAAACATTTTTAAGATAAGCGATTAGTCACTGAGTTAGTATCACCAACCGTCCAAGCTATAATGGCATTGGAATAATTACAATTTATTACAATAATTCTCATGGTATAATTATTACTTAAACAAGTCCATTTTGTAAGGCAAGGTAACCTGGTGTATAAATAATGTTAATAAATCTAGTTTGCAGTTAACAACGCATGTATAATAATGCAATTTATATTCTGTACAGTACAAATACGCAGGAATTTTGTTAAATTGTGAATCACTTGGATAATATTCTAGAACAATTGTTATTTCTACAATGATAAAATAACGCATATTTCCTAAATTTTACAAGTAAATCGTATAGATATTTATTCCTGAACACTTTACAACAGTTATGCGATCGTAAGACACACTTTGATTACACCAAAATATTGATTAATTATTTTAAAAAAATGTACACGTTTAGAAAATTAATCCGTTACGTTGTTTATTTGTTTTATTCAAACAGGATGTTAACAACAAGATCGTTTCGAAACTCATTGACTTTTGTTTAGACGGCGAGTCACCACAAGGTCGGTACGAAACAATTTTTGGAAATGAGTAAGTATTCATGTTTATATTATAAATTCTTTTGTTACCCTCGTAAAGTATTCAGCAGAGCCTTGACAATACCATACGAGTCCATGATTCTTTCAAGTATTTGTCATTGTTTCTATACAACCTCCTCCAAATATAAAACGCAGGACGTCTCGGTTACAGACAGTTTAAAAAAATCGTAGTTCTCAGACAACGTTCGCAAAATGGATAAAATATTGCTGGTAAGAATTTATAGATCAATATTGCACAAAAGATTTTACTTTTTACTTCTTTTTAGTCGTTTAGTAAACTAAATAATTTTTTTTAATAAATTTTAACACTAGTGTTTATTATAGAACATCGTTAACAACATAAATATGTCCATGTTCATAACAAAAGAGCAAAATTTAACGCCATTTTTTTTATTAGGTAATTATTTTTTTTCCAGATTACTATGTTATCGCTTTTAGCGTCAACAGCGGCTGAACCACTGTTGTATAGCTCCAGTATCTTTGCATCTCCTTTCACTTCTGCTGCCTTAGTAGCACAGCCAGTAGCACCAGTTGCCCCAGTTGCACCGGTTGCACCAGTTGCCCCAATTGCTCCAGTTGCACCAGTCGCCCCAGTTGCACCAGTCGCCCCAGTTGCCCCATCGTACGCAGTTCCTTACGCATCTGTATCAGATTACAGATATTCGTATGGTTCATCGTTGAACCTACAGGACTATTTAAGTGTACCATTACCGTATAATCTTCCTTACACCTTGACAGATTTGTATTATCGTTGAATGATTTATCTTTATTGTGTTAAAGTATGAAAATTTTACCTGTTTAAATATCACGTGACTCGGCGATGTTTTTTCTTATATGTAAAGTTTAAGAAATATTGTTATTTAATCTTAAATAAAATTATTGTTCATTGAAAATAATGGTTAGTTTTATTTTTCGCATCACATATATATACATATTGATGTACTTGCCACGTATTTCTATATTTCAAGGTTTTATACCTAACGTAATTATTCAGTGCGCCTACTAAGTTTGCATTGCAATATTGTTGTAGATGTTTTGCTCTGCAATAACCAACAGGTTATGTTTGTTAATCTTTTGGATAACAAAACTACAGGCTACTAAAGCTGGAACTTGAAATAAAATGAAAAATGATCAGTTGGGATAAAATTATCCGTAGAATTTTTTCGTACAATCCGTTTAATGATGTCCTCATCTTATATTTTAGATTCACTGATACATGAAGATCATAACTAATCTCGATAGACTGCAAATATGAAAAAAGACAAATCTTTGAATTTATTATAGTATTAGTATAGTATTTAGTATAGTATTTAAAAAAAAAGACGTTATCCACAATAGTATTACAAAATGTTCATTCTGATTGAAAAAAAAAAACACCAGATGGAGATTTCTTTTTATTGTAATTAAATTGCAATAAATTACAGTAAACTTTAGGAAATAATAACTTATGAATCAATTTACATCGTAGAATTATTTGAAATCAGGACGGACTTTCGTTTAAATATAATAGGCATATGGCGAGGCGTATGTGTAAGCGGAGTATGCGACGGGCGAATAGGCGGAGTATGCAGAGTATGCAACTGGCGCGGTGTAGGCAGCAGCTACCGGCGCAGTGTAAGCCGCAAATGGCGCAGAGTAGCTATACACCAAAGGCTTCGCTGATGCGAACGCCAGGAGAGCGACGAACAACAACTGGAAAAAAGTAACACTGTTTAGTACTACATACACACTCTTTTTTTCTTTTGTGGCAACCCTAACAAAATGCGGTTATGGTAAAAAGGAATTTTCAATTTAATGTCTCTGTTCTGAGTGGTCAGAATAAAATGGACAATTTGTGTTATACCTATAAAGATTAAAATTATTTAAGTAATAAAATAGTATAAAAATCTACACGAAAATTGACTAAGTTACAGAAAAGATTCAATACAAAAGATGAAGTACGAGAATGAAAAGTTATATAATAGTTGATTGTTTCCTAAGTTTCAAAAGTTATTTCTTATTGTTTAATGAGAATAAAACGTTTTTAGAAATGCCAGTTTGAAGAATTTAGAGCTTTGAAGTGTTAGAAGTAACACGAAATAGTATTTAAGTGAGTTTTGATTGAATATGAACGAATAGATACAATATAGAGTCGAACAAAGAACTATTGAATTTGGATACATATTTCTGTTAAAAGCAATATCATTGATATAAATTTATTCCAAAATTACTTAAGTCTTACTAAGGCTTCGAATACTGCAAGATGATTTAATATTTTTCTTTGAATATAACTATCACTGATATTAGGTAATATTAAACAAGTCAGTTCACAAAATTTAATTCTTTATCTTTGTATAATGTAACGAAAGAAATAGTAAAGAGTAATTATGTTATTAATAATACTGAAAATTTAAACAAAAATATCGGGGGATGAAAAATACATACGAATTTTGAAAAGATTTCTTGGACATTGTCATTTAAATTAGGTCAAGTAAATTCGTTATTACTTTCAAGATTATTATTAAAATAATTTTGAAAAGTATACTTAGTGTGATAAAAGTAACGCAATAAATAAATAGAATAAATATAAGCGTTGTTAGGCCAGCTTAAATTCTGAGAAAAGCCCATTTTATTATTTTATAAAAATTTACACGTTGGATTCAGTTAATTTTAAACAACTTTAAGTAAGCAACCACCAATTTTGTTTCTAATTATTTTAAGACTAAAGTTACACTGAATTAATATAAATATCACTAATAAAACACCACTTAGTAGCACATTAGCAAAACAAAATAGTACTTACAAGTTTGAACATTTTGATAATTTGTTTTGGATGCCTCTCGAACACTGAGTCAGGTGGCTCTACCCTGGCTTAATATATAGGTGTAGTCCCTCTGTTGGCATCGTTCTTGGCGGCTCCATCGCAAGGACGATCGCTGACGGGACTAACGCGCCTGATATGAATACAACATGGTCTAATGTATCATATACAGGATGTTTGTCAAGGTCTTACTTAATGATATTGCATTGGATTAGAATTGTTTCCAATATTGCATATAAGAATTTGGATTTAGTTTTAAATAAAAACAAGAGACATTTTTAGTGATTTTTATTTGACTATATAGAATTGTGAACCAAAATGTTTGTAAGGGCAAATTTTAAATTTATTCACAATCTTACGTCTATTCTGGTGCTATTCATAAAAGTAAATGTAAGTAAAGCTATATTTTAATATTGTAATTTAATTAAAGTATATGAATAGTACATAATTTTGAGGTCAAATAAAAATTATTAAGAATTTTGTAACATCCTGTTTGATATAAAAATCTAATCATTAGTATCATAGTCCGTGTAGAACATTCGATTCGTCTGTGCTTGACGCATTTAATTTGTGTACATCCTTAACGGATTGCGGCCAATAAAGGTCGCTAAAAATAGCCCTGAACTCTGCTTATTGAGTATTTTATTGACATTGTCGTATATTTGTTACCTTCACGAAGGAGGAAAGTAAAAGAAAGTCCGTATTAAGGTCAGATTTAATTATAAATAATTACAAGTTGTTTTTATCCATGTATTTTACAGATTGTTATTTTGCGAATATTTCAAAAACATTTTTAAACTTGTTTTAAAATGCAACTTGAAATTAGAGTTATATGGTATTCTTCAAAGTTGTTGACATGAAAAAGTTTTATAGTATTATAATAGACATTAAAGCTTATTGTTATCAATTTAAAGAAACAATAAGAAAGTGATTTATAGAATCAAAGAAATACAAACAGAAAGATGTAAGTAAATGCTATTTAAATGCTCAATGATTCGAATATAAGCTGAATAGGCTGATTTTTAATTTGTTTTTTTTTTCGAAATACAAAAAACTAAAACCTATCAGCTGGTTTAACTACTGGTATTTTTACATAAATTAAGTAATATAATATTTTTCTTATAAAACAAAACTAAGATAGACGATATTTGTTCAAAACAAAATTAACTTCGGACTTTGAGTCTTGTATCTAGGACTGAGTTCAATGAACTTTATAGTGGAATTCTTCGTTAAAATGTCTGAAATAAAAATTCAATCAAGAAAAGCAGGTCAAAGAAAAAAAGATTCGTTTACGGATAATTGATTTTCATTTTAAAAATAGCATAGAGTCCTAATAAATGTGCAAAGTTAAAGTGGTTCTAATTTTATCCGAGTTATTTTGAACGTCTCAATGTATTTTGTCCCTCGAAGGTTAAAAAAGTTAGTTAACTGTTACCTAAAACAGCAGCATTTGTTTAATAGTCAATATTTCGCTGGAGAGTTGTTACGAAGTACTGGATTGCCAGAATTATTTCTTCCTTACCCAAATGTCCTATGTTCCCTATAAAATGTTCCTTTTATAACTATATTTTAGTATATAGTAGTATAGTAGTGACATGACACAGCGGCAACGGTAATTATGACGTCAGGATGCCTCCGTCCAACAATCCCTCTTATTTGGTAATACTTAACCACCGTCTATGATGTCATACAATTCAATTGTTCAACTTACGAGTAACTGACGTTCGCAGATTGAGAATTAATTCATGTAAGAAGGAAGCTTAATTAAAAAGTGATATTTTCATGTGAAGTCATCGTATTCATCACTCTGTCTCTTTCTCTACAGAGGGTCGATAAAATGTGTATTAATGTAGTGCCGTTGACACCGTAATGATGAAATTCACTAGATAAATTAAAACGTTTTCGTTTCGTTACTTGTTTTTGTTAGGGAGCAAGAAGAAAAAATATATGAGTTAACTGTATAATTATTTAATCATCTATCGGTCCGTGGGAGATCGTAATCACTTGAGGAAGGCAACTGGAGCTTTGTAAGCGGCCGCTACCAATGGTGAGCTGTAGGCGTAGGGGGCAGCGTATGCGGCAAATGGGGCAGCGTACGCTGCTGCTACTGGGGCAGTGTATGCTGCGGCAACTGGGGCAGTGTATGCTGCAGCAACTGGGGCTGTGTAAGCTGCGGCAAATGGGCCACTGTAGGCTGCGGCAACTGGGGCAGTGTAGGCTGCAGCAACCACAGGGGCCGCCGGGTATGCAACAGAGTGGATGCCAGGTTTGGCAGCAACCACGGCGAAGAGGGCGGCAAAGATGATCTGCAGAAAATAAGTCAAAGTGTTTTACAAATAAGATAAAATACGGTTATTTTTAACACTACTGTTGTCATGTTGTTATGATTTATCTGTACGAATTAAAGTTAAGTTTTAATTGTTATAAGAATGTTTAATGATTATTTTGATGCCTTTAATAGAATATGCTAACATGTGAAGAAAATGTATATGACCATGTAATTTATATTATTATCTTCTTTACCTGTTTGAACATATTGGAAAGGTTCTACTTGTTCTGTTGCAGAAAAGTGAATGATGTTGATAACAGCGAACTTTGAGTTTAAATAGTCCGAGGAAAGAATTAAGTTATTCTTTCTGCGAGGGTGTGTTAACTTGCCGAGAGCCGCGGTGGTGCTCCGAATTCGAGACTAACATTTTGAACTGTGTTCAACGAGAGTGAAGTAGTTACAAACTATGAAAAGAAAACGATAAAGTTGCAAAAAAATTTAGAGACAGTCTATTATGATATTATAGATAATAAAATAATACAGTACATAAATTTATATTAATGTAAATAGCGGTACTTCTAATGACCAAATCCTACAATTACCTATACCTATGGTAATATTCTGAACTCAATTTAGGGCTTAATTACATTAATAGATTACCGTTATGCAGTGCATGTTTCTACTTTGATATTATATTCTGGAGAGTGAATTCAAAGTTTTGACTATCTGTGCTGATATTTTTTGTATGTTATATAGTGTACCATATAATTCGTTTCGTTTTTAATATTTTATTTAATATACTAGATTTAAGACTCTTCATGTAAAATATATAATTTATTTTTATTAATCATTTAATAAGCAGAGAATTCTATAACGTTCAAATCAACTTACTTTACAAATAACTCGTTACTGAAAATGTGTACTATATTATGGTACTTTTTTTTAATTATATGACTTATAAAATAAGTTTAGACTAAGTTAACGCATTTCTTGGTTCGCTCTTGCATTATGCGAGCCACTCAGCATGCTAGAAGCTCGTCATACGTTGCGTCAGAGGTCAGCACGCGCGTGCTTGGTTTACCATTGCTGCGGCCGAGCGGTTGCAGCAACTGCCTAGAGGTCAATGTGCTTAATTCAAGTAGGCCTTTTATTGGTGTTTCGTCCTTGTAATATTGTTATCATTGTTAATTTCTTGAACAGTTGAACATGTGATCTTATTTATTCGCATAACACGTTTTACTGAGACAGATTTTCGCAATAGATGTTTTACCTACGCATTACAGCTGTCGCCCATCACTTCGTGTGGTATTAAAAACTGGGTAAGTAGCCTATTTTTTATATTATACACCGAAATAGCCTAGACCGCTGCTCATGACTATGGATGACTGCCTACCTTAAATCGAAGGAGATGGGGACGCACCGATATAGAGTATATCCCCTTCCTATGAGTCTAATCTTTCGTCAAATCTACTTCTCATTCCCATCCTTTCCTTACAACAAAATAAGGCCTCCGGAATGCATACTTATCAGTCGAAAAGCGGAATTCTTTCCACTTGAAGTTTCTGTGTGATCGTATTGCACCAGGTGAGTCGGCCCTCAGTCGGGCAACAGATGTTGTTGCTGGCGTCTACCCCAGTTTAACCCATTGAATCTACGAGCTCAGCTTTCTAAACTTTTTTTTTTATATCATAAGGTGGCAAAAGAGCGAGCGGCCACCTGAAATCGCTGAATAGCGAAGTGACCGTTGCCCATAGACATACGCAATTGCATATGCGTTGCCTACCTTTAATGGACGGAGGAGTGGATGTACAGAAAGAAAATATTTTCCCCTTCCATGCACCCTCTCATCAGGAAAGTTCACTTCCACTTCCCATCCTTTCCTTATAACAAAAAAGGTGGGAAGGGAAAGAGGACTAAATTAGGCCTCCGGGACGCACACTCATCAGACAAAACGCGGAATTGCTTCCACTTCACGCCTGTCTTCTGTGTGGTCGTGGTATTTCACCGGTCGAGCCGGGCCGATTCGTGCGAAGATGTTAAAGCGGGCTCTACCACTATGTCATCTACTATGAGTTACATATATGATTCTACATAAAATAAGAAGATACATAGATAAAAGATTCTATAAAAAGGGATAGTATATAAAAATACCTATTTACCAAAAATATTATATAATTTGTGTTACCTAGAAAAAATATATATAATATTTATATACTCTTGATAATATTAAACTGAAATTACATCACTTTCCTTTCATCAGCAATGACAATAGTTATAAAATATTCATTGGATATAAGCCTGGGAGCTTTTTGTATGAAAGCACTTTAGTCTTAAATTTAAACACTGTTCGGAGGCATTATAATTTAGGCTTAGCATACTCTTACTTATTGAAATTCATTGTTTTGCTCGAGGATAATGAAATTGTTTTCGAACGTCTATACAAAATAGATATTCATTTTGAAATCACACGCTCATATATTTGTTAAAGATAATTGCAAACATGTTTGTAAATGTTATTCAAATATTTGAATTATTTATAACATATTTAGGTCTATAATAGTAATTTTAAATCTTCTCGACTTTTATTGAATTTCAATTTTTTAATCGTAGTATGTATCTTAAAGTATCATATTTTCTATTGACGATGTGTTCGTTTGATAGAAAAAGTGGGTATTACTAGAATGGTCACTTTTGGTTTGTATTCCGTTTTATAATAAAAATGTAAGCTATAAGTAACTCAATTCATGTGAGTGATTTGATCACCTTTTCTGGCTGAAAAATTTTCATTAGACTTTGGTTACTTCTCAATAGTCACTTATTAGTTTGTTGTTAGAGGTAGAAATCGCTACAAATTAAAATAGTTCATTGGTATTGCTAATAATTTATTCGATTTTAATCATATCCAATAGTTTTTTTTTTGGTTTCAAAGTTGTAGATCTTCAACGAAAGTAGTAGGCGGCATAGGGAGATGCATATGGGTAAGCAGAGTATGCAGCAACAGGTGCGGTGTAGGCAGAGTAGGCGGAGTAGGCGAGAGGCGCGGTGTAGGCCGCGGCTACAGGTGCGGTGTATGCTGCGGCTACCGGTGCAGTGTAAGCCACCGGCAGGACTCCGGGTTTAGCGGCCGCCAGGGCGAGGAAACAGGCGAAGATGAACTGGAAAGTAAGTTGGACATTTTTCATTTTATAAAGGTAAAATAATTCACGAATTCATTTGAGCTGTGAGATTATAAAAAAATTATAATTCATTCCTTTTTCAAATTCAATTTAATATAGTAGTATTTAATAAACTATGCCACTATTAATGTTTATATAATGCCTCGTCTATTATAAAAAAGTTATTGATGTCTTATGCTCGTGTTATAACTTACCAGTTTGAACATTTTGATTGTTGGGTTATCTTTGCTGCTGCCGAGCTAATGATGCCAAGACAATGTCCGAAGCCGAATATATAGTGAATAACGAAGGCCGATTGAACAATGCTATGTTATTCGCCGCCATACGTACTTTGAGTTACGATACGAGCTCGTCCTTTGGCTAGTGCACAGGTAAAGTATTGATGCATAGCGATTGATATTCTAACCGCATCCCAGGCCTTCAATTGCCTACCACTTGATCATTGAACTGATAAGCATATTACGTATGAAATTTATTTAGGAAGAGTTTTCATCGACCTTTTTAATTGCTTATTCTTTTATTACTAATATAATATAATATAATAACTAATATACGCAAGTTTATCTGTCTATACAATAATATATAAAAATAGTTTGAGTGTCTGCATGTGATTTAAAAAAATATATATCTTTGAATATGATAAAGGGAAAACCAATTTTTACAATTTAAGTGTGTCTGTCCTCAAATCTGCGTTTGTTCCGGGAAACCTCTGTAACGAGTGACCGATTTTGACAGAACTTTTACTGGAAGGTTATGTACGCGGGAGTAACTTAGGCAATTTTTTTAATTTCACGCTGACGAATTCCCGAAAAATAGATAAATTCTCTTTATAAAATCTCATATATCAAAGAAGTCATTGATTTTTATACGTGTACAGTATATTAAGCAACTTAAATTTGCTCGTGATCAAAGTAACACGTGAACTAATGTAGTTATCAGATATAACGTGTGTTGATAAATTGACAACTAATTTGAAGTGACTATTCCCTTGTCATTTAAGCTTTGGAATTACCTGTTAACTGAGAAACAACTCCGTAACAATCATCGTCTTCCCATCATCCTCCTGGCCTTATTCCACTGATGTGTGGTCGAAGAATAAGGTGTTTATACACCATATACAACTACATTACAATATGAGCAATAAAACTTTTTCAAACTTTGCTATAACAGAGTTCAAAAATATTGTAAAAAAATTGGACATTTTCATGTCGCTTAAATATATATCCTTTTCACGTGTTAATTATTAGTGTTGAAATCAGTAGAATTACTTTGGATATCAATTCTTATTCTTGTAAAAGTATGGCAATAACAGACTAAATTACTTATACAGTCACGTCTGTCTGTCTTAAAACTGTGATTAAAATTGGCACCGTCCACTTTATTCATACCCGTGCCGAGTAGAGATACATAAACCGAGTTAAAATGTTGAAGATTCTTCAATACATAACAAACAAATAACATGGTAGATTAGAGACCAAAGATGTCAGTTAAAAAGAAAACAAACGAGGCTTGTTATAGTATATGAAAGAAAGCTTGAAGTGCTGCCTGAGAGTCTGAGAGAGGTGTGTCAAAACTAGGTCAGTGGTTGAGTTCCACGTGAAATACAAAGAGTCTTCCCTTTGTTTAAAAGTAAAGGTAATAAAAAGTTTGTGGAAAAGTCTGTGTCTAACTAGATATTAAATGAAGATATAGTTGTGTATATTATAAATGAGAAAGTTTGGATGGATGAATGTTTTTACCAAGTAATTCTAAACAGGCTAAACAGATCTGGATAAAATTTTGCACATAAATATAATACTGTGTACACATAGGCTACTTCATAAGTTTTTATTTTTATCTTGAGCGGACGAAATCGCGGGACGAAGTTAAGTTTAATCTGGCCACTTTACAGCCTAATATTTTGCCACGTTTTGATATAATATATGTGGTCTTTAGCGCTGTTAGAAGACGTAGATATGATACGGTATTCGAAGCATATAAAATAAAATTGAAATATTTTAGTTATTTTTTTATTAACTTAAAAATTCAAAATCAACGACGAAGGTAGTACGCAGCATAGGGAGATGCGTATGTGTAAGCAGAGTATGCAGCAACAGGCGCGGTGTAGGCAGAGTAGGCGGAGTATGCGAGGGGCGCGGTGTAGGCCGCGGCTACCGGTGCTGTGTATGCTGCGGCTACCGGCGCGGTGTATGCCACAGGCAGGACGCCGGGCTTGGCCGCAGCCAGGGCGAGGAAGCAGGCGAAGATGAACTGGAAATTTAAAAAAAACCAATGAAGTCACATGTTTGAAAACAATCAATAGTAGATATTGTAATAAACAAATTATGGACTGCAACTAACTAACCTTTTAAGCACTTTTTAGTTAGCATAAAAGAAAGTGTATTGTTTCGACGAATTGAAATGCCTATTATTAGTCGACACCACTAAGGACCGAGGATAAAATACATGAATAGTGTTTGCAAGTTGTATAAAAATATCCCTATTAAAATTATTAAGATCAATCTTAAGAACTATCAAGATTTGGTCTAAATAATGCTGGATGGAATAATTTCTTTGTGGAACGTATTTTAGGTTCAGTTTACATCACGATAAATTATAAAACTTACCAGTTTGAACATTTTGTTGGATTGGAGTGAAGTGAGTTTGAGAGTAAGTGATAGTGTGATATTGAGAAGTGCGCTCCTTCAAGTTTTATACTTTGTCGACTATTAGGAAACCGTTGTGGTGCGCTTACATGAATAGCAATCAGTTATCACTGCATACAGACATGGGCGGTCGAGGTAATTACCGGCACTTAACATTGAATAATTGTGTTTTTGATTATTGGATTAAATCACATGATTTACTTTTAATGAAGGAGATATCATATACAAATTTTAAAGTTGTAAAATTATTCGGAAATGATCATTTTAAATATATATGGATTAGTAATTTCTCTATCTTTTTAATTAAACTTAAAAGATTTGTCATTTTTTAAAACGGTACAATACTAATAAAAATAAAAATGAGTGAGAGTGACACACTCCTGTGTTCATATTTTTTATATTTTCTGTATTACTTGACTCGGCACCCATGAAAGAGGAGTGTGTTTTCATTTATGTATTTTTTATACAATTGATTTTGCTTGCCCTGTATATTAGTTACTGTCGTTTCGTATTAGTTAAACAAGTGTTTTTGTTTATTTTAATATATTGAGTATACTGTATTTTCCTAACTTTCTTATAGTGATTGATATAAAAAGAGTGAATTTGTGAATGAAATAATTTGAATGTACGAAAATATATAATATAAGAATTAATGAATTATCGTTTTGCATCTAACATATAAAGGAATAAATCGTTAATAGTTTGATTTACGACGAGTAGATTTGAACTTTCCCTGATTTTGACCTGAGCAATGAATGCTTGTTTATCTTATATTACATACTAGCTAATTCGACGCTTAATCATATTTTTTTCTGGAGCAGATATGCTCCAGAAAAAGTTGTGATTCCTTTTCCAAAATATTATTCTATTCTTTATATTGCTACAGGGTATATTGATTCTAATGCATCAAATAATTATATTCTCCGAAAATCCAAATAATGCATTCATCATCATAATCAGCCTAAATTTGTCCAATGCTGGACGTAGGCCTCCCCCATCGATTGCCACAATGCCCTGTCCTGTGCCGCCCGCATCCAGTGCACTCCCAATATTGCATTAATAATGCTTAATTAATGAAGTTTTGTTATTTCCATCAGCTTATAAATATGCCACTCGTAGCCTACCCAAATTAAAGGAGACTAGGTCATAGTTAGTCACGCTGACACAGTAAGGGGTTGGTTGGCTTAACAGCAATCTTTGAATTTTTCGCTGATTTGTGCAGGTTCCATCACGATGTTTTCCTTCCCCGTAACAACGTCGAACAGATGTACTTATAATATTAGGAATTTTAAAACACATTGATATGTGGCGGGGATCGATTGTAACTTATTTTTTGGTCTGGTCTGATCAAGTACACAAATTTATTTTATACTGGGTAATCATTACAAAATTCGTTAACGAATAATAATGAACGTAAAGAATGAACAAAATAAATACAAAAAAGAAATTACGTTATAAACAAACTCAATAATTAAAACGTAAATTAGGCCGGGATCCTAGAGAGATAGGTAGAAATTAGGTGTTCGGCGCGATTCTAGCACACCTCGCTCGACTTTACGACATTCATACATTTACGTATGCGTTTTCGTCAATTTTGGGTGCTTTTAACAGTCTTTCTTAGTACCTTACCAATTTAGTCGGTAAATGTCTACCAAGTACGAACACTATTAATACTAACACACAATTTTGCGACATTTTTTCATTAATTGTAGAGAATCTGAACCATCGTTCAAACGCAACACCTGACTAAGCATATAAAGAATAATTTTATGGGATTATATGAATTAAAAGATATTTTATATTTTAAATATTATTTATTGTTCAACGACGAAGGTAGTACGCAGCATAGGGAGATGCGTATGGGTAAGCAGAGTATGCAGCAACAGGCGCGGTGTAGGCAGAGTAGGCGGAGTAGGCGAGGGGCGCGGTGTAGGCCGCGGCTACTGGTGCGGTGTACGCTGCAGCTACCGGTGCGGTGTAAGCTACCGGAAACACGCCGGGCTTGGCCGCAGCAAGGGCGAGGAAGCAAGCGAAGATGAACTGAAATTATTAAAATACAATTATAAAACCAAATTGATTATGGAATATTGAGTAAAATAAAAAAATATATATAAAGGATCGTTGTTTTGATAAAAATCTGTTTGTATATAATATGTTTTGTTATAATTGACAAGAATTTATACTTAGCAACACATAAACAAGCAATAATTATTTGAATACTAATGTGTTTATTCATTATTAAAAGACTTCATTGAGGGGAAATATCAGGGATGTATCTCGAAAATAGTGTCGGCAAAGAATTTGATTTACATATTTAGAGACCTACCAATTTGAACATTTTGATATTTTTTTAAGTTGAAGGAATCAAACAAATGAACTCGAAAGCAAAGTTGTATGTGATACTGCAAGGAATAATTCATTGCTTTATATACTTAACTCCGAGCGCCGTTCATGCACGTGCTCTGCATATAAAATTATTTTATTTGTACGAAGTTCAAGACTTTGATAATATAGGAACTAATTAGTTCTTTTATCATATGTTAAGCAGTTTAAAAAAATGTGATATAAATTTTATTAATAATTTAGTAAGGCCTACATGTTCTGGTTTAAATACTATAAATGTACTTTTTGTTACAAGGTAAAGATTATTCTTATTAAATTTTCGTTTCTTCAATAACTCTTCGGCTACATTCCATCTAAACTCCCAGCTAACAATCCATTATGCTTTTATTAATATTATTTCCAGACAAGTAATATGTGTATTTATTAATGTTCACCGGTTTAATTACTTATATTTGACCCAAAGTACACACGAATGCTCTTGAGCTCTTAAGGAATTGAACGGTTTGATATTCTACGCAGAACCGTCGACTCAATTTCTTCACTGAGGGCGTAGTATAAATGCTACACAGCAGCCGGTACAATGTCACATTACTCACTCACTCTTGAACTGTATTGTTTGTTTCTACCACAACATAAACAAAATTAAAATGTTCAAACTCGTAAGTTATTATGATTATTTTGCATTAATATTATAGAAAAATCATCTTTTCTGAATACTGCTCTCAACTTGCAATAATTATATGTATTTGAATATGTCAGTATTTTCATAATGTGTGTCAAAGTGATGAAAGAATATATTTATTCAATATTTTAAACCGACATAGGAAAAATCAAATTTCATCATATCATTTTATCTCTTCTACAGTTCATCTTCGCTTGCTTCCTCGCCCTTGCTGCGGCCAAGCCTGGCGTGTTTCCGGGCGCTTACACCGCGCCGGTAGCCGCAGCGTACACCGCACCTGTAGCCGCGGCATACACTGCTCCCCTCGCCTACTCCGCCTACTCTGCCTACACCGCGCCTGTTGCTGCATACTCTGCTTACCCATATGCATCTCCTTATGCTGCGTACTACCTTCGTCGTTAGTTAAATCGAAGAAAATGCCATTTTTACCCGCTAAATATCTAATAAATAAAACAACACTTGAGGAAAGTCATTTCAAGGATGTGTACATTCAGAAAAATGCCTGTATATTACAGCCAAATAACCTGTACGAATGTTTTGATAGTTTATGTAATTTGTTGTTTATTGTATGAACCAATTTGTTGAAAATGTTAAGATTATATTCCAATATACAGTTATATAAATTTATCCTGTGTGATTTATTTTCTACTTTCTATATATTTAAAAGACAGTCGTGTTAGTTACACTATTTATAACTCAGGAACGGCTTTACCGATATGGCTGAAAATTGGTGAGAAGGTAGCTTAGAGCCAGGAGACGGACATAGGATATTGTTTTTTCGAATTTATGCCTTGAAGAGCTGTTTTTTATTTAACTTACTAATATTATAAATGCGAATGTTCAAATGGATGTGATGTGGTGGGTGTTTGAAGATATACCTATAACGGCTGTGTTAATGAACATTTTAATAATTTATGTCGCTTGTAGCTTAAACCACTAAGATTCATGTACAGAATAAAAGCATATAATTTAAATGAAATTGATGTTTTGTGTTTTGTACTAAAATGATGTCTTGCAAAACAATAAAGTTTAGTTAATAAAATTCCTTCGAAATTATATTGCTAAAATCTGAGATGTGAGACACAATCGCTATGGTAAAACACGTCTTGCTTGTTTTGAATTGTTCATCGAGGCAGTAGTGCCGTAAGCTTGTGTCAAGGTCAACGCTCTGTTAAGAATATTTTACTTGCTTGATGCGTTTAAGCCGAACAACCTTAGCTTTAGATAGATTTTGTGTGTTCACATATTTTATCTTATCCATAAACATTGTTAAAAATGTATTATAGTAGTATCCAAAATATATCCAGAAATTCATACATCGCAAAGGAGGTTCTAGTTTGCATACGCAATATATTTAAAGGATAAGACAATCAATCAATAAACCAGAATTATGCAATTCGAAATTGGAAAAGTTGCACTAGTTTTATAATTAACTGTATAATATTAAAAAAAATTGTATTTAAATTTATGTATAATTCTGTTAGTTACTACTATCCCGCTACAACAATATTTGTTGGGTACATGAATGGGCCATGTCGACCAGTGATATACCAAGACCACAAAGAAGCAGGTGTGAAGTGGAAGTATTTGTGCGTTTACACTGTAGGTAAATCCTAATCTAAGTCAGTTCCCGGCAAATATATTTATTTAAAACACGTCAGTAGGTAAGTTGTGTTATAAATTCATTTAAATGTCATCCGAACTTAACTTTTGGACAATGTTCCTAAATATTTTTATAAAACCTTTTCATAAAGCATTTTAGGGATACCTGATCTGTGTGTGTGTGTGTGTGTGGACTGTTGAAAGAATCGTCCATCATCATCAGCTGACTATATGTCCACATTGAGGGAGTTGGCGCCTAGCCTAAGTCAGGCGTGACTAGGCCTTAGTCAAACACGGCGGCCGAGTGCAGGTTCTTAGATTTCCTTAAATTTCTTCGTAGATATGTGCAGGTTGCTTTACGATATTCATACATGGCGGGATTAGAATCTAGGACTTGCATTATACCGACGCTCCACGTTGAAAAATGAACATGATATTAAAAAACATGTTCAATAAAATAAAAAAAATTGAAAACATTTTATTAAGAAGTTCATAAAATTCTTTCAAATGATTAAGTTCTACAACTACGTATTATTATGTATAGTTTGTCTTATGGAAACTTTTATAACTAATATTCCATTCATTGTCTATATGTTTATTAATAAATATCCGTATTGACTTCAATGTCTGTTGATCAACTTTGCTTTTAAGTCCATACCAAAAACTAAGGTGTTTGAGTTGGCCATTTTTCATCTCTTGATCTTTATAACCTGCGATTTTATCTTGCTAATATTATAAATGAGACTGTCGGATGGATGGATGTTTTTTTAAGGTTTCTCCAGAACTTTGACATTTGACATAGATGTAAAAATTACTCTGGAAAAACACGTAGACTATTAATTATTTTTTTAATACCGCGCGGACGGAGTCGCGGGTAACAGCTAGTTAAATATATAAGTGAAAAGACTTTTTATATTTGAATTGGTTTATTTTACATTTCGGAAATTTGTATATTTACAAAAAGTTTCTATTCGTTGACAAAACTAGATCTTCATGATTTTTATATATAATATTGTGTACAAGTGAGATTATTTCGTTTTAAAAAACTTAACGGCGTAAGAAGTAGGCAGAATAAGGAGCTGCATATGGGAAAGCAGAGTATGCAGCAACAGGCGCGGTGTAGGCAGAGTAGGCGGAGTAGGCGAGGGGCGCGGTGTAGGCCGCGGCTACAGGTGCGGTGTACGCTGCGGCTACCGGCGCGGTGTAAGCCACAGGCAGGACTCCAGGCTTAGCCACAGCCAGGGCGAGGAAGCAGGCGAAGATGAACTGGAAATAAATAGCAAACGGATAAGGATTCATCGATCTTAGATCACAAATAGTACATCATTGAAATTTCTTTGATACTTACAAGTTTGAACATTGTTAGTTTTAGTTTGTTGAAGATGAAGGTGCAATAGTTGAGATGCTTATGCCGTTAAAGACAGAAATTCCAGTATTTATACAGAAGCAATGAAGAAATAGTTTAAATTACTTGCGCGGAATATTAAGTTGCCAACTCCACGTGCTATGAATTGTTACACTCTCACATATTTCAATGAAAGTAAGAATACTTCATAAGTAAATAGTAAGTGCGTCCTTGGCAAAGTTTTCCTTTCTAATTTTAATATAAATTTATTCATAAAAAATACCCTTTTAATTAAATCTTAGGATTATGAGAAAAGGAATCTGTTTATCCCCTACTTTTATAAAAGTCATCGACCTCAACACGATCCTTGCGATAACCAACAAAAACAAAGTTTGTATGGAGTTCGATAGAATTAGACTTTATTAAAAGTATGGCATCAGGTAAGGACATAAATAATCGGCTTTATAATCGTATCCCCGAATATTCCTTTCCTTATTTTGGTACTTGGATTTTTATAAATTCCTTTTTAAGTTCAATAACTTACCCTTTTATTGGGAAAGTATACCAGCACGTAGTTTTGTTTATTATAAATACCGATAAAATAAGAATCATATTTTAAACAAATAACGATCGTCAGAAGTTTTTACTTTCAAAATTCAAAAACAGTTCAATAAAATTCCAATTTGCCACAAATTTTATTTACAACAAGATCTGTATTGCTAATACGAGATTACACATTTTGATACTTAAATGCAGTTATACATCTTAGGGATATAAATAAGTTACTATTTCTTATCCTGTCTTACGTATATGCCTTCAACGCATTCTTGCATATTTCGGCCACACAATGCGCAGAGGAGATGAAAGCCTGGAAAACTCTTAGATGGAGCGACCAAGTGAAGGATCACTTATCCGATTTCCACGCAGTCTTGAGAGACGCGCTGGACCGCAGTTGGTGGAAGCGAATGGTCTACTCCAGAACTAACATTGATGCTGACCACAATCCTCAGCCATGAGGGTTCGACTCTAGAGAGATTTCTTATCCTATTAACGTGTAACTTCACTGTTCTGTGGTAATAAAATAAAACTTCAATTTAAACATTAAACTAAATATTATTATAGAAATTAAATAATTCTTAAAACTAAATCCTCCTATCCTACGAAGTAATTAGAATATGGTTCAGCATATCTTTGGTCAGAGTAAGTGCCGGCCGGGGCGGAATAGTCGGAGAACTTGAGTGGAGAGGTGTGTGAGCCGTATGCTGGTGCGTTGAATGTTTCTACATCCGGAGGAGCCACGGGTAATGCACTGACCTGCTCTGAAACCAGAGCAAGGAAGCACGTGAACAGGAACTGGAAAATAAAAAAAAAATTAAATCACCAACGTACTAGGTAGTAAACTTGTGCTGAGACATTTAGTTTGCATCATCAGCTCACTATACGTCCCCAATGAGGGGCTCGGAGCCTGCCCAAGTTTGGAGTGATAAAGCCATAGTCAACCTCGCTGGCCCAGTGCGCGTTGGTTGACTTCACACATATCTTTGAATTTCTTCGCTGATATGTGCAGGTGCTGATGTGTCACGATGATTTCCTTAACCTTAAGAACGTCGCATGTATGTGTGTAAATCGGAAGTGAAAAGCACATTGGCACATGGCGGGATTCGAACTGAGTACCTGCAGATTGCAAGTCAAGTGCGCGCTCTACATTAGTTCGCTTCGACCATTTTTGCATTCCGGTGAATTTATAAAACTTATGGTAACTTAAATATGCATAATATTGAAAATTAAACTTTGATAGAGGAACCTCTTTAGAGCGTTAATAAATATGTGGCGTTAAAAGCCAAATGAACAAATATGAAATATAATCAAACACGAACATAATAGTTAGAATCCTTGGCAATAATTAGTAGAAAATAGTCATTGACTTTTAAATGATCCTGTTGGTATTAGAAGTATTGTAGTCATACAATCGATGTTATGCGCAGTATGGATTTTGTATACGCAAAACTTTAAGCTTCAGAGTCTATGTTCATATAGAATTTCGCACTTCGAATACTTAAAATATGGAAGATTACTTACCAATTTATACATATTTGGTTTGTTTCGATTAGATATTAATTTATTAAATAAGAATTTAAAATCAATTTCCCGCGTGACACGAAATGTAAACAAGTCTTCAAAAGCAGATTCACGTGTGACACCAAATTTTGTTCCCCGTTTCATTTTATACTAAAAGACAAGATGATACAATGACCTTATTTACCTGCGCAGATATAAAAAAGAAATGCGACGTATCTGAATGTTATTAATTTATCCAAAGCATGATGACGTTATACATTTTAAAATGTATTGGATTTTACTGCGGAATGTTTATTATGTTTTTGGGAAGGAGATAACTTATGAGTATAATAAATATGTTGATTCAACTGATAGTGATCGAACTGCCCTAATCACATTCATATAATCTATATAATAAGTAAAATTAGAATGTGTGTATGTAATATAATATATGAAAACTTAGGGTCCTTCAAGAAACGAGCTTATCACCATCTCAAAGGCAACGCATCTGTGGTTCCTCTGGTATTGCTGATGTCCATGGGCGTCGTTCAACACCTCGGTGTTCCCGTTGCTCGTTTGCTCCCTTCTGTTATAATAAAAACATATTTCACGAACATTATTACTTATTATAATAAAAGGCATTTATTTAATTTTGATCTGTTTGTCCGTCTGTCTGCAAATCTTAGTTTGTCTGTCTGACTGTCTGTAATGCTTAGTTTACATTATGCCAGTACAGTAGAATATGTTCCCAGCGCCACAGTCTTTACAGAATGGTCGTGGTCATCATGTATGTAGGTGCCGTCCCTCTTTTCACCAGACGCCTCCAGGACAGTATTTCTCAAAGTCACTGCCAGTTGTATGTTTATGTATATTTCACAATATTTATACAAAGAGATCATAGAATTGAAACTATATATTGCAAAAATATATGTGTTTTTGTTCATGTAATCAAACATATTATTAACCTATTTAACATAGAGGTGATTAAAAAAGTTTTGAAATTATTAAAAGACTTAATTAATAAAAGGTTGTTTTGTACATACAATCGACATTTGGAAAACATAAAAAAGGTATTTTTTAAATTATTGCATTCAAGGTAATCGAAGTTAGCTGAAGTTTTTATTTTGTGCAATTTACAATTTTTCTCTTCTGTTTTTTTTACCAGAGACTAGGATTTTGAATTACATACATACGGATTTATCTTATTAGATGAATAGATTTTTTAAAAAATATTACGGTATTAAAAAAAGAATTAAAAAAAAACGCCACTACGAGTCATCTACAATAATATTTTGTTTATTATAAAATAATTTGTTATGCGAAAGCTTTAGAAGTTAATGAACCTAAAACAAGTTTTCATATTGTTTACATTTTGCTCGAACCGGATATTGACTAATGTTTACTTGGTATTTTGATAAGCACACTATTCGGAGTAGTATTGCGTACGAACAATAAATTTTTTTGAGCTGTTCAATTTAAAATGATTTTTCTAATACTATGGCTAGATCATTTGATAATTGTCATAATTTTCTGGATATGCTTCTACTATCATCACATCTACCACCAATCCGAACTTTATTTTTGAATAGTCTGGTTATATTTAAGTGTTAACTGAACCCTTAATGCATTGCAAGGTCAAAACAAAAGATTCTAGTTTATTAAACCAGGCTAATCCTAAACGACTTTTTTTTTATTCCAAGGGTATCCTCAATATCAAAGTTTTATTAAAATCGGTCCCGTATCTGTAACGCATTTTACCAAAAAATCAATGCCTTTTATAAGCATCGCATTCGCAGTATTAGAGGGAGAGCCGTCTTTTATTTGAATTGTTTCGTGCTTTGGTGTTTTGATCGATGACATATTTGTAAATCCCTTCAAGTTTCTTTGTAACCCTGTTTCTTAGAATATATGAAAGGCAGACGTAAGATTGACACACAGATAATAATATTATATAACAATGGTATTTGTCATATATTTGTATTATTGATGTAATCTGCTTTTAACGAGTGATAGGATAAACACAATAGAAGAGTTGTAACAATTTGTGGTGGTGACGATGGTTTGAATGAAAATAAAGATTTTTGTTTTTATACTTGTTTATTATTTAGTTGTTGATAAATAAATCCCATTTAAGAACTGCAACAATAAGTGGAAACAAAAAAAACATTTAACTCTTTAACAACAGCAAGATGTAGAATCTAGAGATCAAAATCAACGACGAAGGTAGTACGCAGCATAGGGAGATGCGTATGTGTAAGCAGAGTATGCAGCAACAGGCGCGGTGTAGGCAGAGTAGGCGGAGTATGCGAGGGGTGCGGTGTAGGCCGCGGCTACCGGAGCCGTGTATGCTGCGGCTACCGGCGCGGTGTATGCCACAGGCAGGACGCCGGGCTTGGCCGAAGCCAGGGCGAGGAAGCAAGCGAAGATGAACTAAAAAGAAACAACAAAATATTGGAGATTGGTTTGTTTTAAATTCTACTTGATACTTTCAATTTATATGTTCGTGCTTTACACTGAAATTAATATGTTAATATTTACACTACTCACCAGTTTGAACATTTTGTTTGTGGTTGGGTTGGTATCGAAGGTATCGATTGAGTATGTGCTACTAAGAAGCGTCTTCGCCGTTTTATACTTTGGTTGCATCAAACAACAGCCTTGATACGCATGTTTGGAATATCAAGCATTGTTGGAATGTTGGTTTTTGATATTAGCTCAAAACAATTGAACTGCGATCGACTGCGATGGTCATTTATTTGAATTAATTATTGAAATAATAAGGCTATAAGGAGTATCCATGAGTATTTGAAGTCTGGATTGTATCGCAATCTGTAGTATCGGATATTAAATAATTGTCTTCTGCACTAAATAAGCTATAAGAAGCGCAATAATTACTGTTGTAAATGTAACTTTCAAAATACTACTACGAACAAAAAGTTTTCGTGCGGTTTTCATAGCAACATCACTTCATTAATTGTCGAACCAAAATCGAGTTATTTTTTTTCATATTCATAACCTATCTATTATTATTATTGTACAATATATTTCTAATAAGACTTATTTAATTTAAATTAATTAACTAGTGAAACAAATAAAGTATTAATACTAAAGGTTTGAAAGTGTTTTAATATTTGAGAATCGTGTACGCGTGAATGTAAACCTTACTGTAAATGAAGCATGACAATTTAATTAAAGACCTTATCATCGGGTTAGCGGGCTAGCTTGATTAAAAGTTTCGCACCGACATGGGTATTTAGTGCCCTCATATACTAACTATATTAGGTACAGCGATATATTCACTTCATTTCATCTCAGTACTTTTGTTGCTATCGACTATGATGCTTAAAATTGTGAGTTCTATTTTTTTTATTTACGAATTATTTTCGTTATAACTTCATCTATTTTGATTTTTGTTTCTTAAAAGGTCACCAAAGAGGTTTTAGTTAAAAAGAAAAATATGTGTTACTGGCAGGCTAATTATTCTTCTGTTGTCAAGTGCGTTATTGCGATTAAAAATAAAAAAGTAGTTGTCAATTGTTTTATTGTGTGCGTGTGAAGCTTTAGTTGGTTTACGGTTACGACGCAAATCGTATCGTTGTAAAAATGGGAGTAGAGTGAAAATACACTGCTTTTTAAATTGATGTAGAAAAAGAAATAAAATGACCTTCGGAGGAATTTAGTTGGGGTTAACTAATGTTCCCATTTACAATACAAAATGTCATTTCGAAAATCGGCTGTCGTTTTCTGTTTAGATTCTGTTAACCCTCAATAACACAACTGCAAGCCTAAAGAGATAAATAAAAGAATAAAATTTTATTTTATTGTTAATAAATAAATTTAATTCGTAAATATTAAGAGTTTAAGAATATTTTTAATGATAAAATTTTATGATTATTTCAGTTGTTAATTTTCGTCGTGATTACGTCATGTTTTATGCAAAGTATGGAGACCAGAAAACACGTCCATCCGCGTCCACTGATGTTAATGAAAAAAATTATCTACAGACCTACAAAACGTTTGACGCAATGAAAAGAAACAACTGCTATTATCTGGTGCTATTAAAATGAATATTTGAAAATGGAATAAACAGTTTTACGTTGATATTCGTTTTATTACTAAAATTTAATTAAATAAAGCTTGCAAAGTATTCTTATGGTCAATATTAACTTTAATAAAGTATTAATAGTAACAAAATCTATCTACATAATTTGTTTGAGTAGTCTGTCTCTCACTTCTCTCAGGTTTAGAGACAACATTAAATTGATATTAAACAAAAGCCTAGTCTGACCTAAATATGGTTTATTTATAACTTGCTGCGTCTGGTTCATAATTTGTTTTTACACAATACTTGTACGATTTTTATTGAAACAAGGAAATTGAAACAAAGAAACTAGCGATTTAACTGATCAATGATTAGTACAATCATTAGATATGCAGACGTATTAGTTTTCTCTTTATAATACAAAAAGTGTGTCCCTCGAACAAAAAAATATGCGTTAACATAGATTACACTGATATAACTGGACACAATACAGAGAACTAGTTCGAAATCCGTATTCAGACGGTCGTTGTTGTGTCCTTGACCTTATATTTTTACTTGTTGGTCTAGTACACAAGGTTGCACGTGATAATACTGTTAACTAGCAATAGGAGGATATATGGACACTTATCCGGTCAACAATCGTCCATCATTGCACCAACCTTAAGGTTTTTATATATAAAGAGACAGCGTCTACTGGACACCATTGCAAACAAGCAGTGCCTTCAATAGCAACATTAAGGAAAACGAAAAAAACCCTCCAAAATGTTTAAATACGTAAGTGATTTTTTAAATTAATTATATAAATAAAAAAAACATTCTATTAAAAAGTGGAGTGTTAAAATATGGATTATGGAAAAGTACTAGATATTGTTACAATTATTAAATTACAATGTTATTGATCTTCAGACGTTTTTGTCGGGAGGCATGTTTATGTGTATCAAACTTGAAACGTAAAAATCAAGTTAGTTGCCCACATATTAATATAGAATGCGATTTTAATTACCATTTTTACGGTCTGTTTATCATTTTATCTTTCTCATTCAGGTGTTGTTCGCTGCTCTCTTGGCTTTCGCGTCAGCTAAGCCTTTAGTGTACGAGTACCCGGTAGCCGCAGCATACACGGCTCCGGTAGCCGCGGCCTACACCGCACCAGTCGCCTACTCCGCCTACTCTGCCTACACCGCGCCTGTTGCTGCATATTCTGCTTACACATACGCATCTCCCTACACTTACTATGTTCGTTGAAAACAATGAATGTTACTAGCTCGACGACAATCAAGCAAGTCAATAGTACCTAATATTGTAAGATACATCGCAGATTAAAAATACATAAAAAATATACATATTTATTAATGAAGCTATCATGAAATGAACTGTTTTATTTATGCGTTCCATTATCACTTGAAGAGATTTAGCCAGTGCAAATACTTATATTCTATAAGCCAAAACAATTTGAGTCGCAGATTTCAAATAACATTTAATGAAATAAAAATAAAAAAAATTGTTGAAATTTATTGGATTGATATTAAATATACGAGTAATTAATTTAATTGCTGTAATCCTAGAAGAGTCGATACCTTAACGTAGACAGCAAGGAGACGGTGTCGAGTGACAGGTTTTGTTTGCAGCGGCCGCGGCCGGGTCAAATGTATAAGACGCTTACGCGACAGAGGTCATATGGGATTAACGCACGTTTACACTAAACACTTTCGTTTTAATTACACATGTTACAAAACGAAACTAAGAAAAAAATGTTTAGGTATACCTTAATTTTTCTAATAGGTCTTTAAATCATGCTTTTTAATTTAAATGATTAGACAAAATTTAATTTGAACTTGAATTGAAAAATTAAACGGAATTTTTATGTTTGATAACCCCATCATATTAGTTGAAAGCCTACACCTAGAGTAGTTTTAACAGTGGTAGAGCCCGCTTTAACATCTTCGCACGAATCGGCCCGGCTCGCCCGGTGAAATACCACGACCACACAGAAGACAGGCGTGAAGTAAAAGTAATTCCGCGTTTCGTCTGATGAGTGTGCGTCCCGGAGGCCAATTTAGTCCTTTTTTCCTTCCCACTCTTTTTCTTATAAGGAAAGGATGGGAAGTGGAAGTGGACTTTCCGGATGAGAGGATGCATGGGAAGGGAAAATATTTTCTTTCTGTGCATCCTCTCCTCCGTCGATTAAAGGTAGGCAACGCATATGCAATTGCGTATGACTATGGGCAACGGTCGCTTCGCTACTTCAGCAATTTCAGGTGGCGGCTCGCTCGTTTGCCACCTTATGATATAAAAAAAGAGTATCTAGAATATCCTATCCTAGAATATATACTGATACAAAAAATAATTAAGACCATCTCACACGTAAAAGTTGGGAATTTATGCCATAAGATTGCATTCTTGTTTTCAGTACTGGTAATTGACGAAGAGAAAACAAAATTATTCCATATGTAGTTTGATTATACAAGTCGTCCAGAAAGAATATTTTTAACCTTCAAACTAACCTCCTATCATAAAATCTATTGTGAATAGCTGGACGAGTGAATTAGAATATGCTTTATTGGTAATTCAAAACCTAGAGACACAATTCGTTTTATAATCGGTATTCTGTTACAAATAATAATATTGAAATAAAATAAATTCAGAGAAAATTGTGTCTCTATTTTAAAAAAGGTGTCTGGCTTAAAAAAAATAACAAAAGCGTTTGTACAATGAGATTAAATATATTTCATGTGTATTACATTACAAAGGGAGCTACAAAATACAAACGTATGTGTATGTTAGTTTATATCTAGTTTTTAGGGTTCCGTACCTCATAGGAAAAAAACCGAACCCTTATAGGATCACTTTGTTGTCCGTCCGTCTGTCTGTCAAAACTCTTTTTCTAAAAAACTTTTGAAGGTATCAAGCTGGAATTTTTATTTGTGTGGATGTTTTCTATTAATAGAGATTACACAAATTAATAACTTAGTATAAATAATATCTTTCTTTCTATAAAAATATTAAGAGTATAATTATAAATGCTTTTAAAGGCTTAAATAATAATACAAAAGAACCTTACTAGTTTCATAATAAACTTAACACTTAAAGATACATGTGGTTGAAATGTTAAACCCAGCATTTTTGTGAGCATAATTTATAAATACTTATATACGTAAAATAATTTTTTATTAGCGTCATTGCACTACATTCTAAGAGTGGTAAATTGAAGCATTTTTTTAAATAACTTGTAATGAAAATGTATTTAATATTATTAAGATATTCAAGACGGTAAGACAAATGTACTCATCCGTCTAAAGTTGTTAATTGATATTTTTTTAACAAATCAGGTTTACTTATAAGACAACGTCGTCGTGAATAAATCTGTTTCATTGCATTTATTAAGAATCCCAAACGACACTTAGATAAATTAAAATGTTCAAGTGATTAAACATACACGCGCCTTAGTACCTATCTGACCTATTTCTTTGAGCTAGATTCCTATCAGTAGATATACGGTGGCAAACATGCAACTTGAATTCCTCGAAATGGCAAAGCGATCGCTGCCTAGAAACATCCGCAGTTGCAGATGCGTAACCTACCTTGATAAAAATATTAAATAACATCAACATGTTTATTGACAGTGGTAACTGTCCCTGAGAGTTGACTTACACGCATTCTATCTAAGCTATTACACACAGCTATTGTTCACTGGAAAGTTTCGCTTACTTGAATTAAGTAGAAAGTAGACTTGAACGAAAAGTACGCAAGAAAAATTTAATATATAATACAATCATTACTCTTTTTTATACAACAATAAAAATGCAATAACCGTTTAATAAATGACAAAATCTCTAGGTTTTTTATTCATTTGGATATTTAATTAGGAATAAAATGAATCCTTTCTTGCTAACAACATGTAAAAACATAAGCGCAGTTCGTAGAGTTGTTTAAAATAAAGCCCTCACTACGACTACGGTTATTGATAATACCCAAGTATTTCTTTAAACTTGATATATTTAAATATACCTACATACAGTACGAAACATTATGACATTAGATTCTGGAACAAAATGGTTTATTTAGAAGCCAAGTCAAGTAAAGAAAAAAAGCACACAGTATTCAATAAGCCATAGCAATGTCAGTACTATTTTATAAGGTTTGAAAGTTGTCAATAACTTCACCACGTGTAACGTACGATACTTTTTCTTTGCGTTCCTTCTCAAAGCGTTTGAATAAACATAATATTTTTACGGAACCTTTTCATCCGCGATACGAGTTATGTTGACTTGCTTGTTTGTATTTATTTTTGCCTACAATTTTTGATACAGTGCTTTGTTATTTTAAATGTATGTCTGTATAAAATTATGTAAGTACAAAATCTTAGTTAGGCTAAACGGATAAATGTATGAATAATAATTATGTTTTACATTTGAACGTATTAAGTAAAGTAAGAAAACATTCTTAGCAGGTCTTTTTATTCCTACATATGTATGAAAAACGACCCATTTTCAAACAAAATAGGCGCATTTTTGTAGAAAAAAACAATACAGTTGTAAATAAAATTACGACATTTATAGCTACAATTTAATCATACTTTCCTTCTCCTTCGGTTTTTTTTTCGAGGTAAAAAAATACGTCATGAAATCTTAAAAAAAATAGTTTCATTCAATATGTATAACGGAGGATTTTGACTTCTAATGTTGTCTACAGACTATTGATGTGGCATAGTTTCCACGCGGGATTTGACACCCACACGCTGAATTAATTTCCTTAGACTTGTAACATGTAGTACCAAACGTTTCGTAACTGTTTTAAGATCTAAAAATAGTATTATATTCTTAATAAGTGTTGTGATTTGAGTGACGAGTAAGCTACAAATTACTCTCAACTTATTTGATGTTTGCGTCTGATCTATATAAAATTAGATCACAGCTAACAAAAATACTTACGAACTTTTTCAAAGACCAAATTTCCTTGTGGATTAGTGTAAGCAAATGAACACAAACAGTGCATTTCAAAGAAGGAACTTTTTTAAGATTAGTAACATTGCAAAAAGGATGATATGTAATATATGTTTAGGCTATTAATTAAAAAGAGTCAATAAAGTATTCTAATTTAATTTGTTTAAGAAGGGACAAAAATGGCCATATAATGTTAATAGGCATCGGGGAAGGAGGCCTGTCTTTTTTTTTATAAGAGAAGAGGGCAAACGAGCGGCGGGAACACCCAGGTGATCAACGACACCCATGGACATCTGCAACACCAGAGGAACTGTAGATGCGTTGCCGGGCCTATCTTCAGTAGTTAAAACATGCTGGGGATCATGATGATGATGATACTATTCTGTTGTCTAATTAAAAAGATAACCTTTAAACAGACTGTCACTATCAATGTAGTAACTTGTACAATAACATTCAAATAACGGAGATAATTTCATAGTCGATTATTTCCTCGGATAATATTCACGTCACCCCTATCAAGTGCATTATTCCATTGAGCTTAAGATGAAAGGCGGCGAATTGTTACGTAATATCGGAATATGTATCTGTCCGCTCGCCGCTCGCAGGGTGCCCGTCGGCGGCCGGTGACAATGAGCTGTGTCGTGTGCAGACGACGACACGACTACCTTTCAATACCGTGAAAAGTAACATTTAGACAAACGAATCGACGAACGAACATTTCGAAGTGTTCGTTCGATTCGCGAACGTGCTTTTAATGTTATTAAGTTACTTTAGGTTAATCTTGCCGTCAGTTCGCACTATTAAGACATTCGTATGAAATATTTTGTAAATGTAATGAGATAAAAAGATAACATATGTTTTATGAAATTTTTATTAGCGAGAACTTCTGTCTGTGATGATTTTGTTGTATACATTACTATTCTTTTCTATGACTTTATGAGTTTAGAAAAAAAATATCACAAGAAAGTCAAAAACATCTTGAATGTTCACACATCAAATATAATATATCATGATCTCTAAGGATACCTTTTTTATTTAATTTATTAACAGTCCTGAGTGTAAACAGTCCATTACGTAATAGAAATGCTGGAGATAGAAAAGTAACGACAGGACAAACTATCGCAAATTATAACCACGTATGTTTGATATGCATTTGTAAAAACAGTGCAATGAACTTAAATGAACTGGAAATCATAAAAAAACATAACTTAATTCAAATTATATTATGTCATGTTTCATTCTCTCCGAAATACACATATGCCAATAAAAATATTTGGGATATATGTTTCGTCAGTGGAAATCCTTGGTTATATTATAATACATGTTTGCACATGTGCAAGGAGCAGGAGATATTACGTAACAGGGCACATGTGCCGCCATGCTGCTTAATAATTAAGTATATCGGGTTATTGTACAACTTAATGCC